TCCAGCGGGGAGGATCATGTGAAGATGCACCCTCTCATCCGCGCCATGGTGTCATGGATAGTTTGCGAGTGCGGGAAGAAGGATAACAGGTGGCTGGTGCAAGCAGGCGCCGGGTTAGCAGAAGCGCCAGACGCCGAGAAATGGGAAGGAGCAGAGAGGATCTCGCTGGTGTCCAACGAGATCAGCTCGCTGCCGGAGGAGCCTCACTGTCCGGCGCTCTTGACGCTTCTTCTCAGCGGCAACCGCGGGCTGCGCACGATCCCCGACGGCTTCTTTCGCTCCATGGCATGCCTCAGAGTCTTGGATCTGTCGCGCACTTCGATCGAGGAATTGCCACCCGAAATCGGTACTCTGCTTCAGCTCCAATACCTCGATCTTTACGAGACCAGCGTTACGTGCTTGCCGAAAGAGCTGGGGAATCTGGTGAAGCTGCGGTCCTTGCTGCTTTCCGGCACGCCTCATCTCAGGACAATCCCGAACGGAGTAATCGAAGGTCTCACCGAGCTGCGAGTGCTGTGCATGTACGCTAGCTATGGAACTTGGAGGGCGAGCTCCTCTGGGGCAGGGATCAGCTTCGAAGAGCTGGAAGGGCTGAAACGGCTGAGGTACCTCGACATCACCCTGGAGAACGCTACCAGTCTGCAGAGGCTATCGAGGGCTCGCCGCCTCGCCATGTCCACTCGCTACATGCACATAAGAGGCTGCCTCGGACTGACCACCATCCAACTTCCTTCTCCTTCGCTTGGGAGATGCATGAGGGGCTTACGTTGCCTTCGGATCTCGCACTCCAGCAAACTGGAGGAGATCATAGTTGGTGGTGGCAGCACTGGGAACGAATGGTCGCTGCTTCCCAATATGCACGTCCTTATGCTTCAGCAACTGCTGAAAGCGAGGATCATCTTCAAGGATCGAATCTTCCCAAACCTTCGGTTTTTGCATGTCTGGTATTGCAGTGGGATAGAGCAATTGATCAGGTTCGAGGATGAGGCGGGGGAAGGGCAAGAGCCTGAAGTGGTGGCTGCCTTCCCCCACCTAAAAGAGTTGCACCTTGTAGGCCTATCGGAGCTGAAGAGCCTTGGAGGCGAAAGGAGAGTGCTGGCGTTCCCATGCCTGAGAGTTCTTCAGGTGAATGAATGCCCAAAGCTGAAGGAGCTTGGCATGGTGGGGGAGGAGATGACTGCCATCTTTTGCAGCCAAGAATGGTCGGATGGACTGGAGTGGGGGGATGACGGAATTAAACAAGCTCTCAGTCCCCTTTTTACACCATTGCAGTAATTGATTTGAGGTTGTCTTCTGCCTCCCTCTGTTCTCACTTCTTTACATGTATATCTATTTATCTGATTCTTTTGGCCACATGATACATGCATCCCATACAGGAATTCTACAAAGTTCACTGTTCCTTTTGTAATCTGGATTGCACTGCACTGAGGAATTCAATATTGTGTTCAAAATTTAGTAATTCTAAAAGATTGATCACTGAGGAAGGTAATAATTAGGATTGCATATTTATTACTCATCTGTTTCTGGGTTCAGAATCTCTGTGAAAAGCTATCATGTGTCTCAGATATGGGACTCCAGAAGCTATGAGATCTAATTATTCAAACACCCCAATCAAGAATATGGAAGGAAAATACCCAATCAATCTGGAGTCAGTCTTCTTATTCAGTTCTATGAGGTTCTAATCAAGAATATGAAATGATATCTAAAAATAAAGAAAGAAAGAAAGATTTATGGATTCCATAAATATAGCAAAATATTATTCAAGGAAGTTAAATAATAGAGAAAAGTTTTGCATCTTCCAGCTGATGCAAATAAATATGATTTATTTTACTGCCACAATTCAAAAGAGCCTCATATCCATTAACCTTTTTCTAGATTAACAGAGGGGAAGTCCCATTCGGAGAAGAATTATATCCACAGGGATTTCGGAACAGAGGAAGAGAGAAACTCTTCTCATATATTGCTAAGCCACATAGACAAACGGGCTGCACTGCTTTAACTGATATACTGCTAAGCCACAGCCCCACGCAAAAGCTGCATTCCATAGTCAACGACAAACATGCAGAACTCCAAGCAAGCAGACCAAATTGCATAGATGATATGAGAACGAACCATTCATCAGCAAGGCAAGGAAACATCACTTCCCTATAGACAACCTAATATGGTCAGATTGAGATGTGGAATAGTTTAGCAGAGCATAGAAACAGCAAGTAATGGCATAAGGGAACAACTGCTAATTGCAACCCCCTTGAGATCACCCTCCATGAATATTCATCTATTTCCTTATACATGTCATCTTAGCACATCCACAAACCAACCACAACGAAATATTATTCATTGCTTGAAGTGTCAATTTGTATAATGCAAATCAACTCTAATTTTTTTGCAGAAATCATCAAGGAAGATGATACATGACAAATATATGCCGACAAGAACTAGTTGTACTCCAAAATGTCTTCAGGTGTTTTGTTGGAGCTACACAATGGTGTAGCCATCAACTAACTCCATAAGGCAGGAACAGAAGATTCTGGAATACAAAATCTACAATCCAATAGCAAAAACTCTCAAGTAATAGGCAAGGCGACTAAAAACTTCAAAATAACTGAATAAAGGAAAAATGTGAAGCGTAAAACAAGAAAAAGCTTCCAAACAACAAAGAGTACTTTTTGTAGCTACACACAGCCAAACCTTATTGACCAGAGGTGAAGAATCATTATATAAAATTCTGTCAAAAATGAAGATTCTTCTTCTCTACTGGCACAATAGTAAGTTTAAAAACTCCATTTAATTGTCACCTACACATCAACGACAGCTTCAGATTGAGTTTCGTTGTCTTCTCAAAAGATAATATGCATGATGTATTTAGGAGAGCCAAAAGCCACATAAGGATAAACAAACAGGAGTTACCGTAAACATACAGCAAGGAGGGACATTGTTCAATTATTTAGACAGATATCCTTTGATGAGATTTTTTCTTATTTCGGTGCCTTGCTTGATTCTGGTGCATATTATCAGTTATAAACATGATGCTTACTAAGTAGGATGATATTTTCCATTGCATATAGCCAAAAAAAATAAGGCTTACAAACAGGAAAGTATAATACAATATAGAATAAGCATGTTTAAAAAGAAAAAGGGATGCACTTCAAAGAAGGTGCCATGGAAGCACTACATAGAGTGAAGAATCCAGAATATTAGTTGTACCGAAAAAATGATTGTAAGAAAAAGAAACCATACCTGCCATGAGGACATCCAAGTTACTCCTCAGCAATTCAATGTACTTATGAACCAATCAATTTCCTGATAGGATTGACACTATCTGCATGTGACTTTTATACATGGTGTACATAAAAGAGTGTCTGACACTCATGGAACAAGCAGAACTACTTAAAATTGTTTAACAAAAGCAAGCGAATGGAGAAGGACAAATGTCAAAAAACAAAACACCAAATCGGAAAAATAGGAACCCAATAAATCGCTGGATTGTTATAGAAACCACACTTGAGCAAGCAAACACGAACTGAGGGGGAAAATAAATTAAGTCATTTATTCATAGTTAAACTCTAAAGACTTCCTTAATTTCCTCTGTTGGTTTGACAATGATAAATAGAAACTATAAGACCAACCAAAGATTATAGCAAACAGGAATTTGCAATAGTGCAGAACAAATGTCATGATGCTGCCCAGCAATGAAATTTACAATAGTGCAGAACAAATGATTAGTTCACCAGTCCTTTTCCTATTTCCGATGGCCGACAAACAAGCTATCTTCCTTACATCAAATATATCATCCTTAGAACCATAGTTAAATTTCTTACCTCAGACTTCCCAATCATAAAGGGCTACTTCAACATTTGGTGATCATGTTCATGCTCTAATATGTGCCTTGTAGATCTTACCAATTCTTGAACTCATTACAATCTTAGGTCCCAGTCACATGAGGAGTCAGAATATGCTGTGCTAAGATATCTGACCTATATGATAAATCATCAAGACACATGCTTATTTAAATTGGTTAACTGACTAAGTTCCAAATAGAGCAGATTTAACCTGCCAGAATAATTGGAGAAGCCATGCCATTAAGATATATCAAATTTCCTAACTTAGTTATCATTGTGCATTCAACTGCATAGGTCTGACCATCTTACTGTCTATCCACAAACCAGTTTTCATTCACTAATTAGAAACATAAAGTTAGATACCAACAGTCTAACGATTAAAAAATAAAGTTGACAGTTAATAACTTCAAAGAAAACGATGATTGTGATCTAGGGTAATAGAAGGGCCAAAAGTTTCAGACCCTATAAATAATGGCATCACTGAGACAGATCAACCCTGAAAAATCCTTGTCAATCTCCCAGGTGGAAAAAGGAACAGGAATATTAAACAATTTATACTCACATTTCTATTCTGAGAAGAACGTCAAAGTCTAAGAAAGCACAGGATAGAGTAACAACTGGAATAAGGTTAAGCCTAGTCCAAAAGTCTTACATAAAATGTACTTCGAGTTGTCTAAATTATAAGAGTAACCATCAGCCACAAATGTAATCAGATTATATTAACAGCATCTACAGTTTGCAAGAATGAAGGTAACAATGCTATAAGAATACACAGAAGAACAAGAGCACAATGAACAAAAGACAAGTTCTATTGCCTGAAAAGCAGGCAACTGACATTACAGAGATTTCAAATCAACATAATCGTCATATCACATTCCAACCATATTATTGTAGGAATTGACAATCCAGTATCACGACTGGAGAAGACACTCCCAATCCTGCATCACAATTGGAGAAACAGTATTTCTCATGCCCTGATCCTTTACCAAGAAGCTTCTTTAGGTTCTTGATGCATTTTCAAGCATTATTTGCAGGCATCAGAATCCAAGAAACCTCAAATTTTAAGAATTGATTGAAGCCCAAAGAACAACAAAAGTTGAATGCAACAACTTGTTCTAGAATTATAATTGTACCAGGTGAAGCAAAACAGTCAATCATACATCTTATTCAAATAAAGTTTTTATGGCAAGGGAAAAAATGCTGGAAGGCATCAAAATCAACAATAAGACACAAATTATGTGGATCCACTGGATCACAACAACAATTATGAAGTTCATAATGTCAGCTGAAACAGAGAGATCATATTCGGAAAGGAACTTGGCATCCTCAATGTTCGCCTTTTTCATTTTTACTTGCACTAAATAATAATATACAGACATGTATTACCATATCAACAGAAAGCTAAAGAAAGAGTACTTGCCAAATTCCATCAAAACATCTCGCTTGCCACGAATTTGGAATCTGGCATCTTTATATCGAACTTACACATCATCTGCTCAATCTGAGGACGGCAAGTACTCGAATTCATCCTCCTTGAGATGGGCGAAAAACTTGACAGGGCGAGGTTGACCTTCAACGTCGATTTTGAACTCGACTTTGAACGGTAGATTAGCGGAGATCCTCTTTCCTTTCCAAACCCCAACATACTGCTTGATTACCCCTTCCAAGCCGTTCAGATCCAACTCCGGCGCCTTCTGCACATGGTAAACCTTCAGAGGCACCTTAACCCGGACCCTTTTCCCAATCTTATCCGCCGCCTGCTGTTCCTCCTCTTCTACCTCCGACGAGGACGAGGAGAGGTCGGTGGAGACGACGATCTGGCACGAGACGCGCCGCTGGGCGACCGGGGCGCGCGCGGCGAGGATCGCCGCTGGCGGGGAGGAGGCGACAGCCGGGGGAAGAGGGGGAACAGCAAAGGGAGGGCACCGACAGAATATGGAGGAGGCGAGGGCAGGAGTGGTCGTAGTGGCGGTCGCGGGTGTCGGCATTCTTCCTCAGGCGCCTCGATCTCGGGTTGTAATCTTCCCTTCGAAATTTTTACCCCTTCTTTGGGGCTTTTCGTCGAACAGTTAACCAAGTGGCGCGGTGGATAAGGCGTGGACGCAACAAGCGGCGCACGTTGCAGCGAAGGCGCTCAGATATGTTCGCTTGCTTGCGGGGTTGGAAATGAGAAGGTGACACGTTTGGCGATGCAAAGATAAGACCAGGACGCGCTCTTTTGTGCTCCAGAATCTTGGGCAGTCTTGTAGGAGGTGAAGAAATTTTAGCAAACATGTGGTGCACAGGTTGCGAGGTCCCAACCACAGATTTATGAGGACTCTATTAGTTTATGGAGGCTGTGAGCAACAGAAACACCACCATTCAAGTGAGACGCTGTTTCCACTTACCATAACAATCTTCAAATTAAAACATAGCTCAATATGATTGACTGCAGAGAATTTCAACGAAAAATAATACAGTGGCAAGGGTGATCACCAGTATTATGGGTCACAATACCAACAGCAACAGCAGTTCTCGAAACATTTAAACTTCACACATACTTCTCCAACCTAAAACCAAAAAAGATGGATCGAATTGAACAGCTCAATCATCAGCCACTGATGGAAAAGGTACTACAGATATGCAGCATATTTTACCACTATAAAAACACTTGGTTTCGCCTTAGGATTCATGGCATTGTTGTAGAGACCTTCCCAAGCTTCTGGTCCAGCGCTGCTACCATCTTCATCACTCTTCAATCCTCTTTTGCCAATTAGAATTGTAGGTTTCTAAGGCAGACCTGAGATCCAATTAGAATTGTAGTAGTAATGTCCAGGACAAGAATCCTTAGCTCCAAACCTGCAGCCAGAGGCAATAAATAATCAGGAAGACTGACCTGACTTGATGCCTTGTAAGGAAACAACAGCTACATGGTCATCAGCTTTTGCCAAATTGCAGTTGATCCTGTCTTGTTCGATAGATCGTACTGTAGGTCAGCTGGAGGCATAACTGGAAACTGCAATTACCAGCTCTTACTAATAAAAAACCTCTTAGGTAAAAAGGTTAACATACGATTAATTGATATCACAATCATGATGGTACGAGCAATGCCAACCATGTTCAGATGCATCCTGTGGATTTTAAACCTCAAATATATATGGCTGCCTGAATATAAACATGCAAGTCCTGGTCTGAGAAGTTCTTCCAGGAAGAAGCATCCCTTAAATAAAAAAAATCAGGAAAATGGCAAAAATCAGATATTTTATCATATTAAAGTTTCCAGGATGTGAAAATCCAAACATTATGGTACATAGCCATCTGATTTTCAAGATAACTTTTACCGCGTCCAACTTTTATCATGTCCAAGTGTCTCATGTTACAATATAACTTGATAAAAGTCAAACAGCACAAATATTAAGTTAAAAATGCATTTGATGCGAAGAAACTAACAGAATACCATTTAAATATAATGTGAAGTTGCAAAAGTTGAGTTGTGTTTGTTGTCAAACTACAATACGCTGACAAGAACATACTGTTTGTGATATCACCATCTTTCTGTGTAGAAGCTTGTTTTTAATTGAGGCTGTTAATTGAGCTACACCTACTTGGCAAATTGCTAATCATGTCTGAGTCATTCAACACATTGCTCTTACATTTTCCTCTATTTCTTTCGACCACACCTATAGGGAGGAGATTAACATGCCAGCTAACTGGTTGGCTAATTTTGCTAAGACTTCCTAGTCCACTTTTTTGTGGAATGAAAATTTGCATCCTGATCTTCTTTGCTTATATCCTTCGATGAAAAGGATATCTTTTGTGCTTGAGCTTTGAGTTAATAAAGTTTCTCCTTTACAGCAAAAAAAAACTTGAAACTACCAACTAATCAACTTGATCCCACATGTTGACCGGGACTCTTAGGTGATCCCTTCATTGAAATTAGATTCAGCTTACCAAAATAAGTCAGATAATCTGAAGGAGAAAAGAACTTGCCAAGACTAAGTTCTTTGTCAGTTTTCATGTGCAAACTAGAGGGATCTGGAAGAAGCAAATAAATACCACAATTTGTAAAAGGCATTAAGTTTGCAGATCAATGACCATTAAGGAAAGACATCCAAGACATAGGTATTCTAGCCCAATTTAGAAATCAAGAATTCAACTTTCTAAATAAAACTTCCATAAGCAAAGATAATCAACAGTAAGAGAAAAGGGCAACTAAATCTTGAGTCCTTGGATCAAGAAACAGCTCCCAAGCTGGATCCATCCAGAGTGCTCCCAACTTTCGCTACAGGAAGAACAAAAGGAATGAAACTCGAATCATCCTTCACCAGCCACAATGACAATGAAGCAAACTGTGCCCTAACCATAAGGCTTGCCCAAGGCTTATAGCAGAATTAGTACAACAAATGACATCACATGATTTCACATGCAACGATTCCAAGAACGAATGGAACATGAGTAAAGAAACAAATCTACAACTCCAATCAAAAGAACTCCCGTATCAAGATCCTTTTAGAGGGAAAAAATTATCATAGACAAAGTTAAGTACAAGAACATAAATCAAGAGTAACCTAAGCAAAGAAAATGAGTGGGTAAAGAGAATCTTACTCGGTAGGACCGTCGGAAGCGGTGCACTTGAATAATCTCAATAGGTTAGTTGAGGATTCGGAGCCCCAAACGGGGCGCAAAAGCGACGGTGGACGGTGGGCGGTGGGGGAAGAATCGGGAGAGGCGGAAGGTGAGGGATGCTAAGCGTAAGACACAAGGGAACCGTCGAAGGTAACCGTCTCCGCGGGGGAAGGGTTATTTCGAGATCCGTGCTTCCCTGATCGAGAACCGATCGGCGGCTAGTAATGACCAGCTCAAAGCGTTGGACCTGTTTCCAAAGAAACGGGCCCACGGTTTGGTCTGATCGCTTCATGTCAACCGTCGGTCGGAGCTCGATGGCTCACGTGATTGGTGGTATGGACTCTTAAGTCAATGTTTCTTTTATATATATATATATATATATATATATATATATATATATATATATATATATATATATATATATATATATATAGTAATAGCAAAAGATGATAGACGATAAAATTATGACAATTAAAAAAATTAACACTTGAGAGTTAATGAATTTTTTATAGGGTTAGAAGATAATTGGTGTTAAATGGGTCTACAAAATAAAGCTCAAAAAGAATGATGAAGTTGATAAATACAGAGCTAAAGGTTATAAGTATAAATTTGACATTGATTATAAAAAGATATTTGCTCTTTTATCAAGACATGACACAAATACTAATGGTTATTGCAAATACCTTTTTGACCTATCTTCTAGTTGGATGTAAAATGAATATTTTTATACGAACAATTACAAATACATTGTATATATAAGGTTATATAAAATTTAGAAATTAACATAAAGCATATAATTGAAAAAGGTTTTATATGGACTAAAATAAGCTCAAGAAGATTTTCAGAAATGCGCATATGAACAAACATACACTTTTTATTAAAGTTGAAAATGAAAAAAATATTTATTATATACTTAATATGTAGATGATCTGATTTATAATGAAAATAATAAAGCCATGTTTAACAAATTTAAACAATTTGATATGGGAATGATGCATTATTTTCTTGGTATAGAAGTTTTATTGGCATCTTTATTTCTCAAAAGAAATATGCACAAGCTATAAGATTGAGGACAATTCTCAAATATCTTTATTTATCAACCACTGAGATGGAGTTTGTGGCTGCAACATTATGTACTTGTCAAGCTATATGGTTGAGAATAATGCTCAGTAATTAAACTTTTCAAAAATCTTGTTTTGCATAGAAATAATAAACACATTGATTTTATCTATTGCAGGAGTGATGATTAGATTACAAATATCCTAACAAAACCTCTCAAATTTATAATGTCGAAACTATTAGGATAAGTTAAATAGAACTTTATAAACAATGATAAGATTTACCATTATCTTATCTAAGAAGTTTTAGATTGATGAGTTAGTCATTTAAACTATTTTATTTATTAAATAAAGTTTGATTATTTTACATTTTTTTCTTGTAAGCATATTTAAAGGGCACAATGAAACAATTTCAGTGTTTGTTTCCTCTCATTTACTCTTCTTTCCAAGTTGAGGGGTGTGTTTGGTGCACAACTTTCCGGTAGACGACAACGAGAACAGCAATCTCACACAACCACTTCACGCATCTTCTATTTTGCTGGTGCTCAATCCACCTCGCAGGCCCGAAGACAGCCTACCGCACACACCAAACCTCTTCTAATATTTATTGCTTCCCACGCCATCTTCGCCCCCCACCGACGCCCACAACCACCCTAAACAAGAGAGAGAGAGAGAGATCATTGCGATCACGTTGGTACTGTGTCATGGCGTCCAAGCTCATCCTCGTCCTCGTCTTCCTCTTCGACGTCATTGCCTTCGGCCTCGCGGTAGCCGCCGAGCAGCGCCGCAGCACGGTGAGACCACACCCTTCCTCCCCCGTGCCCATCTTGCTCGAGCCTGATCTCGTCGACGTTGCAGGGTAAGGTAGTGGCGGACTCGGAGGACACCTACAACTACTGCGTGTACGATTCCGACATCGCCACCGGCTACGGCGTTGGCGCCCTCCTCTTCCTCCTCCTCGGCCAGGCCATCCTCATGGTCGTCAGCAAGTGCTTTTGCTTCGGCCGCTCCCTCGGCCCCGGCGGTCCCCGCGCCTGCGCCCTCCTCCTCTTCCTCCTCTCCTGGTACACATACCTATACGGATCCCCGTCTCCCATCATCTCCGAAGACCTCACCATCGTAGTTTACTTGATGCGGACTTTCGGGTGGTGATTGCTGCTGCAGGCTGACATTTATCATAGCGGAGGCGTGCCTACTGGCGGGATCGGTGCGGAACGCGCACCACACTCGCTACCGGAACATGTTCTTCGACAGCAACCTATCGTGCGAGACGGTGCGCAAGGGCGTGTTCGGGGCCGGCGCCGCCTTCGTCTTCTTCACCGCCATCCTCTCCGAGCTGTACTACGTGTTCTACGCCAAGGCGGCCCGCGACTCCGGCACGGCGCCCCTTGGCGCCTCCGTCGGCATGAGCTCCTACCACTAGATCTCGCTCCCTGTTAGCGCAGGCGAGACTCGGATTGGCTGCATCGGTCTTTGTCGATTGTCGGTGGGGACAGTACCACATTGTGGATTCTTGTTTGCACGTAGTTTGATGATTCAGGCCCAATTATATGATCAAATTCAAATGGGATCACAGTGTCTCCGTCGTCTCTACCTCAAACTTTCTCCTCCGTCCACATGCGAAACCATAGAACATGAAGTGCATATAGCTGGAAAGTACTATGCTTCTGAGCCGTTTTTAATGTGATAATACCAATTAAATGAGCTGCAATGCTACAGTAGTACAATGCTCAAACTAGCCACTGCTTATATCTCTACCGGTATGCTACGAAGAGCCGATACCTTCCCCGTGAAATGGCTGACCATGACATTGTCATTGGTCTTCATGGTGACCCATTCGAAGCTCTCGTTTTGCGCTTGAAACATCACAGCAAAGTAATATAGAACAACCAGTAGGTGAACCTGACGTAGCTCACCATCAAACACGGTCCGACCTCGATGTCCCACCACTTGCACCCGACTACATCCCCTTAAGGCGTACACTATGATGTGAGTGTTGACATTCCAATGTGGTGAGCTGATGGCATTCTACATGGAGACATAATCACCATATTTTGAGATCATAGATGGAAGATAGATCTAAGATAATATTTTTATCATACCAGGCAGAGAAGTCCCCTTACAGCACTCGTTTGGATGAATCATAGGATGGGGAGCTTCTGACTATTGAGGGTGGTGATCCTTCCGGCGCATGAATTGAGGTAGTCAGTAAGCATGGAATCTCCGATGTTGTGTCTTATCTTCAGAGTGCAGTAGGCCTCCGGCACATCGGATTGGCATCCCCTCCCCTCTTGGCATTCTCGTTCACCTCCCTCTCTTGTTGACATACCTCTTGCTCCCTCCTCCATTATGGTTGCAACACCTTAAGCCCACTTATGGCATGGACCATCTCACTTATCCTGTTGTCGAGGAGGCTGTGTTCCCTTATTCAGTTTCTCTACTCGAATGTGCAACACAGATCTCTCATTCAGTTTTTCTACTCGAATGTGTTCCCGATCTAAGTTAAGAAAGAAAATGAAATCATCAATCAAATGCCTTATAATATTCTTTTTACTTGCTTGTGCTACCATATTCATTTACTCAACACAGAGCCCCAATGCTTGCTGCGAAGAACATGTGCAGCAAAATCTCTCGACTCAAATGTGTTCCCAAGCTAAGTTCACAAGCACGATGTTATTATCAATCCAAATTAATATAAGCTTGCTTGTGTATTTATTATTATATTATACTCAAGCTTTTTTTTCTGGGATATTTGGTACGCATTTATATCGGATAAGGGTAAAATTATTCATCTAATAGAAAATTGAAACATGCATATTAATATGGCAATCACAAATCTATCACATCAATACTGATCATAATAAGAAATATTTTCATACCCATGGCTTGTTAGGGGCTCCAATCATAATAAAGGGCTCGTCCAATAATGCAAGAGATTAGACTCTTATATTTGCTTTTTCTGGGACAAATCCAACATTAGTCTTATTGCATAAAAGACGCTCGCAAGGGTTCAACTTCTCTCATTCGAAAGTCTCATAACCCTTCTCCTATCCGTCATCTCTCGTACTAATATAAAAGGTGAGTTCGGCTCCTGCGTTCATCTAAACCAAGATTTGTGGATGACCGACAATATGATTAACACTCCTTTAGGTTTGGTTATGATCGGGTTTGTAAGATTCTTCGTATGTAGTATTGTTGTTGTCTTGGTACCGTTGATTGGAGAGTTGTCATTACCTAATTTAATCTCGAAGGTGCTGATCCGTCATGGGGGGCACGCTAGGGTGGGAGTGGCGGCCCAAGCAGGCAGTTGAGGTAGCAAGTGAACTTCCGATATATTACAGGATCTCAATGATCGATCTGTAATCATCTCGGGGAGCGGCTTATCTGTTGAAGGAGGCTCAAGGTCATCCCAAGGTGCGCCTTGGTCTTGTTCGGAAGCATATAGCATCATTTTAAGGTGGCCCTTAGACATGCCTGAGTCCTACACAAGCGGTCGGCGTTGGGGGATGTCTCGACCCGACCCCTCCAACGATCAAGTCAGTAAAATAGGTGGAGGGGATTTAGTAGAGCTCAGAAGAGTTTAGGTAGAGCTCGCCTTCTTTTTGTTTAACCTGAGGGTTTTGGGTTTTATACCTGAGCGATCGATGACGTGAGGCCACCGATAGGTTAAGGTTTCCCTTATCCTATTAGAGGATAATTGATAACAGCATTAAGGTAGGACGATCATGTTGATATGCATTGTCAGGGCTCTTAACCTATTTGAGACAAGTAGGGGATGACCCATTGTGTCGTTTGTTCGGAAAGTAAAGTTGGAAAAGTTTCGTCATGTTACCTGGCTTCAATACGTGTGTGCAGGGTTTCCCTTTGAAGATGTTATTGAGCGAAGGTGAGGAGTGGGTCTTGTTAGTCTTTTTTCGATGGTCGAGATAGGTAAGGGTCGGGGGGTCATTTCCCTATCAACGACTGCGGAGTGAGTTTGCCCTTACTTTTGCTTAGGTGGTTTCCTGGTGAGTTAGTAGGCTACCATTTTCCCTATCGAGTAAAGAGGTGTCATTTTGATGCAAAGATAAGCATTCAAACATCATTCCCCACCCTTATCCCAACGACACCTGTTGCTTTCCATGTTTATCATTACCATTTCTACAAACTCGATTAAGATTGATGGAGGCAATGTTTGATTTCAGATTGCTTTAAATATGTCATGATCAATATTGCTAATTAATCCACAATAAATAATTATATAGTTTGACCAAGTTTACTTGACTACGGCAACCGCTGGCTTCCATTATGGTTGACCACGGATCAGTAAACTCGGTCGCTGTTGACCTCAAGTGGGAGGCAATAAATCATGAGATTCCTACGTTGCAGGATAAGCTTAAGACCTAATTCTAGAGGCCAACCCAGATGACAACTTGGTAGTGTCATCATCCAAGTAGTGATGGTACATCTCAACTAGTCCTCCAATCCTAATCTTCTTGATAAGCTCGCCGTGCTTGGACAACCAGCAACACAACAAAAACTTACGTATACAACATGTAGTGGGCCTAATTTATACGACAAGCACATCATATACTAAACTCAATGGTTAACACAACAGTTTATTAGTCCTTTGTTAAGGTGAAGAACATGAGAGAGAGGGGTTTGAAGTGCTTTATGGAGAGGAAGGGGGAGAGGAGCAGCAACAAGGTGGAAGCTGATATTTATCTGATTTGGGAGTACAGTTCGTGAGAGTGTGTAATGAGGGTGGGCGGTGGATTGCTGCTACGACTCTGCATTGTGCTTGACTTGTTCTTGGCGATGGTGGAGTTCTGCTGTCCGCCGAAAGAGGAGGGGATGACACAGACTTGACGCTGTGGGTTGCCACCATCCTTGCGAGAGAGGGAGAATGTGGAAGACTTTTAGCATGTGTCAGAGCAAGAACACGAAGAGGAGATGATGAGCATACAACATCGGGGCGATACAGCTCACGTGGCCTAATCAAGACAAAGGAAAAGCTGGCTTCAAGTTTCAGTACTTGTGAAAGAGAACTGTGAGAAATGAATGGAGATGATGATCAAAGTGTTTTGATCATTTGCTTCTCTAGGTAGAGATGACTCCGTTGCATTATACAGAGTAATACAATTGGGCAGCCTTCGTGTCTTGTGCAATCATTGTCTCGTGGTTATCGCAAAGGATCTAATGGAATGATCATTTCTGATATCGGATGGACGCGGAGACAACCCTTGTGGACAATCTTGGAGTCAAAGACAAGACACACTCTCTTACCATGATAACGACATATAATGAAAGGGCGAAGAGACAAAAGTCAGGAACATAAGACAGAATGTGAGGCAAACGTAACTTTGACTAACAAGCCCACGTGTACGGTCATGGCTCGCCGATTCCAGGAGAGAGGAAGGAGGCATGCAGCACCCGGACTTGAAGATTCGTGCCAATCGCAAGACCTGCGTGGTTGGAATTTTGGAGTCCACGTGTGCGGTCTTGGTTCGTAGGACAGGTCTAAGAAGCGAATTCAAACAAGAATTTTTAGGCGGTGGGGCCCGGCGCACCGACAATTCCCGGGATTGCCAAAAATATCTGTTTCCATTTGCCTCTGGGTTTGCCATTAAAAGCGCTGCTGCTGGTGCCTCGCGGAGTCAATCAAGCAAGCACACAACACAGCACAGCACAGCACGCTTCTCTTATTTCCTCTCTTCCTCCTCGGAAGCGCCACTTGGACACGCTGTGTTCGTATCGGATCCCACCTTGCGATTGGTTGGTGTTCGGGGGCCATGGAAGACCCGGAAAACAACAGCGGGAGTCGTGGGAGGAGGCAGAAGGGTATAGTGCGGCTCGTGTTGCCGGATGGTGGCACGCGCCGAAGTGCGCCGCTGGTTGTTGAGAAGGAGGCTTCGACGTCGCTTCCACCTCCGAAGAAGATAAGAAGCCCGGATCGAACCAGCCCGGCTTCCTCGCCGCGGCTTGCCGCCTCCTCTGCCCCGATCTTTCCCTTCTCTTGCGAGGATTCCCTGCCCGTTCTGCATGCACCTTTCTTGCCTCCTTCGGTCGTCGGTCGGTTTCAGCAGCAGATGATTTGTTTCGCACGGAGTGATCCGCATCAGGTTGGAGCTCATCCACATCCTCCATGGCTTATGGCCGAAGGAGTTCCCACGATGAGTCAGCAGCGGCAGCAGCAGAAGCAGAAGTACCATGAGCATCTCCTTAAGTACTGGAGCGAAGGACTCAACCTTAGCCCCCGCGGCAACCTGACGGGCCCCGGACTCTTCCGGCCCCCTGTGCCGACGAAGCTTTACCGCGGCGTGAGGCAGCGGCACTGGGGCAAGTGGGTGGCGGAGATCCGCCTCCCGAAGAACCGCACCCGCCTCTGGCTCGGCACCTTCGACACCGCGGAGGCCGCGGCCCTCGCGTACGACCGCGAGGCGTTCAAGCTCAGGGGCGAGAACGCGCGGCTTAATTTCCCCAACCTCTTCCTCGGCCAAGGGGCTTCTTTCTCTTCCTCATCCTCTGCTCCTGCCACCCCGGAAGAAACCAACCAACAGCAGCAGGATGAGCCAAGCGAACCTTCTCAGCTGCAACCCCAAACCGAAACCCCATCTGCTTCTGCTGCGACCACAGTTGGTGGCACGAGCATGGCTACGACGCAGACGACGGAGATGGTCTGGGGAGAGGCCGACGAGGCATGGTTCAGCACCTGGGGTCCGGGGAGCTACGTATGGGACGACATCGACGAAGCTAATAGCATACTCTTCCAGTCCCAGCTCACCAGCATTGCTGAATCCAACATTGACTGCTTGGATTCCACAGCATCAACAGCGACAGCAGCACGTCAGGACACTAGCGCACCCCCTACTTCTTCTCCTTCCCGGTTTATGTGGAAGGAGTGATCATAGTCTCTCTGCTTGCTTTCCTTCGTTCTGCAACTTCCAGATCGCATGCACAGCCCATTCATTTTAGGAACAGTTCAATGGCTGCAGATTTTTACGGAGCAGCCTGTGACTATAGGAATCTTATCTGCACGCTGGCGAGATACGACTTGGAGCATATATTCCTCAGCAATCTTTCAGAATTCCTTTTGCTGCACCAATCAAATTCCACGGTGTTCCTGCTTTGACCGCAGTTATTACACGCCACGCCAACAGCAGGTTGACCTTCTGCTTCCTAACTTCACCTCTGTCCTATATGGATTTTCGTGGGTTAATTATTTGTAATTTATTATTTTTAAATCATGATCTCTATTGTTATATTTATAAAAGTAAAATATTTAATTTTAATTTTTCTCATAAATATCATAAAATTTATCACTATGATATTTTTATCAACAGAATTGATGACGTAGGAAGAAATTAGGTTAAATATTTTACTTTGATAAGTATAGAGATTTCAATGTAACTCTTCAAGATATAATTATCTGTTCTCGGTACTTACTATTAAATACTTTTCGATGATTCATTGAGATAAAGCCTCGAGCTATCATTATGTGTTTAGAAGACGACAATTTTGAGTCCTCCATCCTTTGATTTAGTAGATATTTTCTTAATTTTCAAGATCAATTGTCCAACTCGTGTGTTGCAGAGGTAGTCAACAAATTGTGAAAAAATCATCAATAAAGAGTTGAGTCACACCAGTTTAACCTCACATCGAAAATAAATAAAGATATATTCATACAAATTTGATGATTATATCATTATTAATTTAGATTTAAATATCTTAATTTAATAATTTAAGTTTATAAATTAACGGGTTGTCAAGGATTGTGAGATTTTCTTTACCATTCAAAGTTTTTTTTCCATGATAGCCTTAACATTGGATAACCACTAAATTCTTCTCGAAATGATTTTTAGTAAATAGATTTAATATCAAGTAAAACGCACATAAATATCAATTTTAATCGAATGTCGAAGCAAAGATCATAAAACCATTTGATCGTTAAAAATTATATCTCTCGACTAATAAAGATCTTGATACTTGGTGACGTCTAATTAGTTTTATTTATATATATCTAATCATATTCAAGAAAATGCATGATCATCACACTACATAATTTTGACAAAATAAGCATTATAATTTTGAGGTCTAAAGACCAACTCTCTACTCGTTTCAATACTACAAATCAAATCTTTATCGTTCATCATGAACTTAGACATGGGAATACAAATTTATCTATCTTATCTTTCTAAGTTAGTTTTGGAAGTTCCTTTTTTTACATTGATGTGTCCTTGAAGCTTTAAATTTTTATTATATTTAACTTAAGTTAATTTATTTCTCAACCATTTCTAGTATAGATCTGTGCTTGTCACAGTCCACATCGCAGATCATAGATTATTGTGATGTGTTCGATTATGTCACATCAATTTATCATGGAGTCATGCTAATGTAATTCAATAGAGACCCTATTTAAGTGACTTATCAATTTTTTTATCTTAAATTATTAATTAAAATATTTAAATTGAAATTGATAATAATACACTTATCAAATTTTTACAAGTCGATTTTAGTTTTATATATTTTTGATATGTTACAATGTTCCTCTCTCACTTGTTCGCATTGATTTAGAGATATGGCAGCTATCTTTTCTTCGTCTCCTTTATAATTTCGGGATTTGCCAATCTTTAGCATCTATTGGCGCGGTAAGAAATGTATCGACAATACCATCCATTCTCAGGTACAATTAGTGGGGTGTCTACGTAGAAGCAAAGGCGTCGCCAGCATCACACGCTTACGAATATTTCTACTGTGAGGGTGTGACCATGGCTGTTCCTCGGTCATGCTCCAGCAAACCCAATGAACCATCCACGGAAGCTTTCACCTAACATGAATTGGTTCGGTGGTAGGGTTGCAGCGACTTGGCCGGAGGAGCTCACGACGGCTAATGAGCAGCGCCCTGGATGGAATTGCAACGTAGGCGTGGCGGCACAAAGTAGCTCAGCCTGGGGATTGGTGATCGTGACTGCAGGTCGAGGTGGGCAGAGTATGAAGTCTGCTACCGCTGAAGCTCTTTAGTTCACCTCTTACTCCACTACCGCTTGCTAGCTCGATGCTGGTTTGATCCGTCAACTCATTTGTATCATTCCCCAGCTTGAAGTAGCTCGATCGACTCGCAACAGAGCCAATCAGCTTTGATACAATTTGTCTGATGAGTCACAGATAAAAGACAAGTCCCAGATCATCCGGACCCTTCTTTTATGCATATATATTTTACAGGAACAGCAGATACAAACACACACAGATGGCTCACAGCCTCGACTGACAAGTGCAAAGAGAAGAAAAAGCAGCAAGCGGACCTCAATAGGTAATAATCTATAGTAGACATATGTAACAGCTGAAGATAGCACCATTCGAACAACATAGTTAATGGAACACTTGGTCGAATATATAAAGTAAAAGGTCGCTACGAAAAACCGGCCATTTCATCATCCCAACCACTCCAATAGTCGGTCGAGGAATGGTCCATGCCACCGATGCTCCTTGGCAAAGCTGCTGTCACCTGCCCCACTTGCCATGCGCTCGCAGTGGAGCAAGGATTGATGGTGGCGAGGCACTCCTCGGACACGGATGCTAAAGGGTAGGAGTAGGAGGAGGAGATGGGGAATGGTGTGTTGTTATTGCCATCACTTGAATTCGCAAGAGTAGGTTTAGAGTGAGGATCGGACGAGAACGGGCTAGAAAAGCTGTAATCAGACGGTGCCAGCTGCAGCTGCGGCAGCGGTGGGGGCGGTTGTCGAAGCAGAACCTGACGGAGAATCTCAGGGAAGATGTTGCTGCTGTGGTCTCCGCCAAACAGCAAGGGAACCTTCTGCTGCTGCTGTGGCTGCGCCAAAGGAACTGGAGTATTGCTATTACTGTTCACGTTAACAGCAGCACCGGGGGCAGTGGTAGATGTGGTGTTGGTGGCGGCAGGCGTAGCCTTGGACCGCTTGTTCTTGCGACCTCCGCCGACGGGAACGTTGCGGAGAGTTCCCCCTTCGGTCCAGTGCCTTCTACATGCCTTGCAGAAGTGCCGGGGCTGGGTCCGGCTGTAATTGTTGTAGTAGCAGAACTTGGTGTTCGTGGAGTCACACCTCGGGCACTTCAACGGCGGCCAGTGCTGCTTCTGCTGCTGGTTATTCCTTGCTTGGCTCATGGGTTGCGGGACCTGCAGCAGTCCTCCCTTATCAAGCAGCTCCTGTCACGCCAAACACCTCACGATTCTTATACAGAATCCAAACCATTGATCTCAAGGAAACATATCTATCGGGTATGATATACTACCTGAGACCAGTCCAGGCCGGCGTCAGAGGTAGCCAGTTTAGAGCTGAGGACCATGGCGTGGGAATTAGCGGTTGGGGAGGAGGATGCAGGTGAGGCGGAAGAAGAGGACGAAGATGAGACTGTTGAGCCTGTTAAGCCACGCAGCGCGGCGCTCCGGAAGTAGCAGCTGGGACTTGGCTTCGACTGCTCGAGAGCGGCAGCGGGCGGCGGCGGCAGCTAAGCGTTTCCTCAGGGCGAAGGAATCGGGCATGTCGGCCTGGCGGAAAGAGATGCACAACCCCCCCCCAAAACTCTTCCGATCGCCCAACTGCTCCTCAGTTGTTCTTGAGACGAGGCTGGAAGGCACCAAAGCGTAGTGGAAAGGATCGACGATTCATGAGCACCGTCTTCGAGGTATACTTGGGGTGGCTTTCAATCTTCTTATATAAGAAGAAGACGAAGAACGCATATATTTGGGTGGCGTGTGCGGACACCGACTGTGGGACCGCGGTGACGCTGACGGGTGGCGTTCCTTAGTCCATAAGGCTGAAGTGGAGCCAACGGGAACGGGACTGGGAAATAACGGAACCGGAGAGATGAAGAGACACGTGGACGCCTGCTTCCGGATAAGAACAACAAACACGGGCGCCTCCTGCGCATGAGTTGGACTGCACATTAATGCGTACTTGTCCCGACACGAGTCGCTACTCAGGCACCGATCACGAAGAAGTCCGAGTCATCGATTAGAAGCAGCTTCCGAACCTCTTTGGGGAGAAACACGGGAGTTTCACGTCAAAAAACGTGCTACTTAGGTGGATCGAATTGGAATCTGATCCCTCTCCGTAGCCTGATCTGGGTAGCATGGAAGCGATGCATCATGGAACCTCTTTGTTCGTATGATTGCTTTAATTCTAGACCAAATCGACATGATCAGGAAACAGCATCACGGCTTTGATCCAGGTATCTCCATCCGACACGAATCACCATCCCTACCTTTCGTTTACAGCTCGTAGGCAACGTGACTAAATGGGGAAGGCGGATGGATGAAGCGGCAGCAGAACATTAGACCGCAGTCTATGTTCCCGTGGTTGATGGTGGCTGATGGGGACCATGAAGAATCGTGTCAAAGGTTTCGCCACCGGAGAGCGACGCTGGGGTCCACGGTGCGCGCGGGACGGGGCGGCCGCCGTTTCTTCGGGCCGCGGGTCGAGGCCGTCGGATCGTGGAGGTTCTCGGCGGCCGACAGCGACCGACGTGGGTCGGTGGCGATAATGGGTTCCGTGGGTCCCGCGACGTGGACGGCGTCAGCCACGGCGAGTCCCGCTCCCCCGTTCCGATATCGAGGGGAGGCCGTCTTCCCGTTGGTTTGGTACTTCGGGTCCCACACGAGCAGGTGGGTCAGGTTCCCCCGTGTCGTCTCTCGTGAAGTTACGGAACCCTGAACCGCGCTTGTGCTCGAACACCCGTTTCGACCGGGCGTGCGTTCTCAAACCTCGCACGTTTCGTGACTCGGCTAGAGGACTTTAATTACGACCGAACATGTGCATCGTATACACGTGTGGATATTGGCTGCCAGTCTGTTGCGTGTGGAAGTTGATTCGAGTCGGTCCATTAGCCGAAAGATCGTTCAAAATCCAAATCTACATGGTCAGATCCAAAATCGAGACTCTCGACAGGAGAATCCAACTTGAATTTGTTTTCCATATCAATTTGACTTTGGCTTAAGATGTTAGTTAGTTAGTTAGTTCCGTTCGTAATTAATGAATTATATTAAGAGTGCCTCTAACGAGATTAGTATATGTTCACGGTGGGAATTAGATGACTGCTGCAACCTCTTTTGAACCCCGTTTGCATCAGAGCACATTCTCCTCGACGATGATTCCAGTATTCAATTTCGAGTCACACAAAATCTCTATCAAATGTTAGGTAAGCTTTGAAGTCTGAACTCATGTTTGTGCCACTTCCTTCTTGTGGCCGTCACCTGTCACCATTGGCTGAGTTGCCGCTCCATTGACCAAAACATGGCATCTCCTCCTCTGTTAGCAACCTCATTTGCACTCCGAATGCAATTAAGTAGCTCAAGGAAGTAATATAATACTTCAACACTAACTCTAGTTTGACGCTTGTTGACATCTGTTCGAGAATGGAGTGAGTTGCAAGTAATGAATTAGTGGACTGAGATATAATGTCATGGTCAGTTACCAAGTCCACTTAGTAATCATAGTGACTGCATATTTATCTTTTTATAAGCGTCATTTGAGATTTCTAAAGGGATGACTCAGTGCACTTAAGTAGAATTGACTACATAATTATTTAGGTTCCACTGTTTTATGTCCACACCAAAATGTTGTCCAATATGATCTCTATTCCAACCTCAAGTGTATTACCACTGAAACCTTTCCCAGGTGTTGTCGTTTTCTCGTACACAGGGACTTGTCACCCCGAAAAATATCTTGGGTGATTTTAGTGGAGTGAACGCGGGCGGCGACAAGATGTGTCCTGTCGTCGTGGCATCGAACGACGCGGAGTTGAACGAAAAACGAAGCGAACTCGTGTCGCGGCTTTCGGTCATCTCTTAAGTCGCGACTGGAGTTCCTCTTTCCCCGGCTTAATCGGGACACGTAGCGTGTGCCGCCGTGGAAGAAGGCTTCATTCCCCCTCCCCTCCCCCCACCCCGCGCCCCCCGCGTTCCGGTCTTCCTCCCTACCAAGACACAACCAAAACAAGCGGCGATCTCCAGAGTGCCGCGGCGTCGATGGCGACGCGGTACCCCCGGATGCCCCCTGTCGGGAGGTCCTCCCGGTACGCGCTGTCCTGCGGCGCTCGTCACGGTGTCGGTGGTCCTATTCATGCTACTCGCTCGCGGAGTCTTCTCTCTTCCCGTGGATTCGAACGGCCCTACCAAGTCCGACCACCTCCTCCGTCGGTCTATCTACGAGGCGTACGTTCTTTGACTCGCCTCCGAAGCTTTTGCTTTAGGTTATTGTTGTTGTTGTTGTGCAGTGGGATCGATAGGATTGGATGAATTTTCTGTCGGATCTTGCGGTTTCTTCGGTATTGATGGTGTAATCTGGTTTTGCAGCAAGGATGGGATGGGAGGAAAAAGGCGATCAGTGGGCGGACGTGCTCTCGTGGGAACCCAGTGCGTTCAAATATCACGATTTCCTGGTGGGTGTCAGTCAGCCCCTTCTTTCCTTCATGGATGATGGTTTCTTGGCTCCTCTGTTAGATTTGCTAGAATGCATATTAAGATTTTATCGAAAGATTTAATCTATCGATTATTATTATTTAATTCAAGAAGCAATGCGGTTTGCAATGGGGAAAAAAATGTAGATGGCGTAATTGATTATTCTCTTCTTAACTTGTTTTTTTCTTGCTGAAAGATCAGCTTTCTCCTATCTGTGTGACAAATGAGACAAAAATTGCCGCCATTTAATGCCTATGTGGTGAGAGATTCTCCTAATTTAGGTATATCATTGCACAAACGAGTCATGCTCTCCTGGCCATGCCTTATCTTTAAAGTGGCTTATTTAAGTTTGTGAAACTTTTCTGGTCTGATGAAGAACTGCTGAGGAATTAGTTAGCTGAACGGGCCTTTGTGATCTATTGGCCAGTTGGAAGCTTTCTTACAAAACGAAACTCCCTTAATGTCATGGTCAACTAGTTGTGCTTTGGTCTTGATCAATCTTCTTCCGAGGTTCCAAAAAATTAGATTTATCAACCCCAGGAATTAACATAAAATTTGGCTCAATCATCATCCATTTCTCTATCTTTATGGGACTCAAAACCCACATTTCTTTTCAGCTGAAATCCTAGTTTTGTTTTATAAGTATTCATGGGAAGTTTGTAAGATGAATTATCTCAGATCAACATTCTACATGGGTCCTTGTAATCAGTAACATGCTTTGACTCATCATCCTGTAGCATTTGCCTCCAACAAGCTCATGTTTCTTATATGTTATTGACTTAAGCTCTGAACTCTTGATTCCACCATCTTATGTCCAGCCGGTTGGCTTTTTGTTGAGAAAAGCTGAGTCCTGCTGGAGATTCATGTGCATGTCGCAATAGGGAGTTTCTCGACATTGGTTTTTGAATCAATTTGTCCTTCCAATCTTTGTCATGCATACAACCCTTTCCAGACTGTATCTTTGCATCAGGTTCAGCATCATATTTACCTTATAAGGTACATTCCGCATCCTTTCTTATCTTTGTGACATGTTTCTTGCAAATTTTGCTTGATTTACAGAATTAAACTGTCCAGCGTTTGTTATCAATAACTGTGTTTCACTTCTTGTTTCTTTTCCCTCACCCTAGGTATGCTCTCGTGATGATGCGCAAAAACCAGATTTGAGTGATTTTAATTTTCTTTTTTGATCCTGTTAACATTGCTATGGTGACCTCATATTGTTGGTGTTATGACTTCCTATCGTAGATGAATCTTTTGCTTGAATGATATGTTCAAATATTTCTTCCTTTTCAGCAGTGCATATTCCAGGTCATGAGGGTTTGACACTTGACTTCTGTTCCTGTTTCTAAAATACTTGCAAATTTATTATGTGACATGCAAGGCTACAAAGTTGTTATTGTTCATGGGCATTTTTTTTATTTTCTTCGACAAACTTAATGCCCACCTATGATTTGATTTCACAACAATTGTCTTTGTGGATGCCCAAGTGTTGTTTTCATATAATACTCGGTGTTTAGTGATACTTTTGTTGAATGCACACAAGTTCAGGGCAATCTGCTAGTGGGATATCTGGTTCTTATATCTTTCTCTTGATGCTTGAACTTCTCATATGAAGCCCTAAGGATATTAAAAAACAAGAAAAGTGTTATATTTATTGATTTCACAACTTTTACCTTGAAATTTAAAGAACCAGAACTTTGCAGGATGTGCAAATTATCTGCAAACTAATCTTAAATAAAAGCTCGAGTTGACATACAATCAATAAAATAACTTCAGTACTGTTATGCAAAACATATATAGATAATATTCTGTTGGTTAATTTCAGAATTTTCATACCATCTTTTATTGTATATTCTGGAGGTATCAACATTCCTCTACTTGAACCTAGAAGCTTATTCTTCGGTGATTAGGCTCCTCTATGCTTATATGCTCTTCTATATTGGAGAAAGCATTTTGTTGCACAAAGTCCTAGTTAATGATGCACAAAGCCTTTTGTTGCACAAAGTGCTGCTTTTCAAAATTCAACAATGAATATCATTAATTTTATAAATTTTAATAAAATGTGTCATGAAAAATTAATCGTCCCAAGTTAACATAGTTAATTTTAAATTAATTAATTTATATGATTAATTTATATAATTAATTTAACATCATTAATTTTATTAATTTATATGAACATCATTAACTTTTATAAAATTATCATTAATTTTATTTTCAAGAATTGCAAATCATGGTGCTGGTTTTTACCTAGTTAACTATGCATGTTATGTCTCTAGCAAGATTAGTAATAAATTGCTCTTGGAAGTGATGGGAGTTGGTTTTATGTTGATATTAGTCCAGGAAAGAATGTGAATACCGATGGCAAAGCCTCACATGAAGAAGCCAACAGTTGTTGACAGTACTACTGGTCAGAGGAAAGACAGCAGGTTTGCATTAGACAAGCTCTCATTCTATCATACGTCATCTCCTGGTCAAACATCTCCAATCATATAATTTCTAAGGGCGTGGACAGGTTCAGGCATGTTTTCTTAGAAGAGGACAAGATAAATCATCCGACCAATTGAAAAAATGATTGCAGATTACACCTTCATACCTGCAGGTATGTATTTGGTATATATTGCAAGCTGAAGAACCTTCATTAATTTCTACTATAAAGTTAATTTAGATTCTTGATTTATTGGTCTCTTCTAAGTATCTTTAAGAAAAAAAGATTCTATAGTTTTTACAAAGTATATTTTGGAGCACGTGTTATCCCTTGCAAATAATGAAATTTGGCTACCTGTTAATTAAATTGCTAAATGAGAAAAGGCTCATTATTCTCAACATATAAGTATTCCCTCGAAGTGAGCAAAATCAGCTAGTTCGTGTCATCTATGACTGACATATTTTGTTCATGTGGTCTACCTTTTGCATGATTAAAATGTTTTCCCCAAAAGTTTGTCCTAACCAAGGATTAAAATCTCAGTATGGCACTGATACCAGTCGCATGCCAGAACGGTCTGGCACCAGTACATACAATGGATCGAGTTTTTGTATGGATATGGATCACTACCGATTGATAGGGAGGGAGGGATGAGAGAGAGAGAGAGAGAGGAGGGGGGGGGGG